CAGTACTGTTAACCAGTACTACCAACCAGTACTACCAACCAGTACTGCCAACCAGTACTACCAACCAGTACTGCTAACCAGTACTGCCAACCAGTACTACCAACCTGTACTGCCAACCAGTACTGTTAACCAGTACTACCAACCAGTACTACCAACCAGTGCTGCCAACCAGTACTACCAACCAGTACTGCTAACCAGTACTGCTAACCAGTACTGCTAACCAGTACTGCCAACCAGTACTGCCAACCTGTACTGCCAACCTGTACTACCAACCAGTATCGCTAACCAGTACTACCAACCAGTATTGCTAACCAGTACTACCAACCAGTATTGCTAACCTGTACTGCCAACCTGTACTACCAACCAGTACTGCCAACCAGTACTGTTAACCAGTACTACCAACCAGTACTACCAACCAGTACTGCCAACCAGTACTACCAACCAGTACTGCTAACCAGTACTGCCAACCAGTACTACCAACCTGTACTGCCAACCAGTACTGTTAACCAGTACTACCAACCAGTACTACCAACCAGTGCTGCCAACCAGTACTACCAACCAGTACTGCTAACCAGTACTGCTAACCAGTACTGCTAACCAGTACTGCCAACCAGTACTGCCAACCTGTACTGCCAACCTGTACTACCAACCAGTATCGCTAACCAGTACTACCAACCAGTATTGCTAACCAGTACTACCAACCAGTATTGCTAACCTGTACTGCCAACCTGTACTACCAACCAGTACTGCCAACCTGTACTACCAACCAGTACTACCAACCTGTACTGCCAACCAGTACTACCAACCAGTACTGCTAACCAGTACTACCAACCAGTATTGCTAACCAGTACTACCAACCAGTATTGCTAACCAGTACTGCCAACCAGTACTGCCAACCAGTACTACCAACCAGTACTGCCAACCTGTACTGCCAACCAGTACTACCAACCAGTACTACCAACCTGTACTGCCAACCAGTACTACCAACCAGTATTGCTAACCAGTACTACCAGCCTGTACTGTTAACCAGTACTACCAGCCAGTACTGTTAACCAGTACTGCTAACCAGTACTGCTAACCAGTACTACCAACCCAGCCTCCCAGCAGCTGGAAGACTCTAGAACCTCCCCATCTGGAATCGAACCCAGAACCTTCCTGTTGCTAGGCAGCAGTGCTCCCCACTGAGCAGCCTGTTTTTTTCACATTTGTGAGATAATTATTGATAATGAGACAGAATCTCATTAATTATGTTGGTTTGGTGGAACGTTTCCCTTCTTCTCTGAAAGCTGCTTCCTCTATGAAGGAAACGGCTTCAGATCATTTCTCTGCTCTAAGTTCCAGGGCTGCTAGTGAAGCCTGATGATCTCTGCTTTAACGAACCAAAGACTAGCAGAAAATCCAGGGAGTTTGTGAAGTTGTAAGAACCTGCCGATGATGTTGACCTGCAGGCCAACCATGAGGGCAGCTGTGACTTCATCATCATCATGTGTCCGTCATGTAAGGAGCTGATGAGGGCCAATGAACAGGAGCGCCACAATGAGAGGGAGTGTCCAGAGAGGACGCTGAACTGCAAATACTGCAAAGAACCGTTCCTGCTGAAGAACATCAAGGTGAGTTTTCCCTCTGATGTAGGAACAGGTGAACCACACCTGAATGATGGCTTCAGGTGTCTGTGCTGTTTCCAGAAGGTTCATGGTTGGTTTGATGCTTCAATCAGCAAAGGTTGGTCACTGATGGAACAGGTTCGCTCTCACCTGTTATTCATTGTCATTAAAACAACTGAAAAGGTTGAAGAACGATAAAGGAACAAAGATCAGTGGGTGATCTCAGGTCGTCTCAGGAGGGGAAGCTGATCTCTGACACAGTGATCATTATTAATTAGTTGATTCCATAAAATGATCACGACTCTCAGAAAACCTTGTTCATGTTCTGAGTCTTTCAACAATCTGTCCCTCTGGGTCCATTTAATTCTATTCAGTGTATTTCTATAGCACTGCCTTTGGAGTAATCAGTGATTCAGACTGAAAGATGGCCGCCACTCCTCCTCCTCACCAAGAACTTCTGGGGATGTGAAAATTAAAATAACTAGAAGGAGTTGCCTCATTTATGCTCACATAATCCTCTTGCTGCAGCCAGGTTTCTGTAAGGCAACATAAATCAATGTGATTATCAGAAATTCTATTCAGTGTATTTCTATAGCTCACATCATGTCCTCTCAGGTCACTTTCCAGTTCACCAGATCATCCAGTCAGATTGATTCAAAGTTTCTATCTAAGGAAAAATGAAGTCATTAACCAGCAGACTTTAGAGGACAGAGATCTGCTGCTAAATAAATCATTTAATGGTTTTTACGAGTTATTATTATTTTCAATAGATTGTTCTGATTAGGAGACGAGAGTTCAGGCTCCTGCTAACACCTGATGCTCCGTGTTTCTGCAGCGTTATCAAGGACGGCTTTCATTTCTGGTAAAAACCAGAAACTAATGTTTCACATGAACACCCACTCATGATGCCATCTCCACTAGAAAGCTGGAAAGAATGTTATGATGCTGGAGTTGCTGAGATGTGGTGAACTTTGACCTTTCAACATGGTGGAGAGCAGTATAAGGATTCTGTGTGGCGAATGCAACTTCGTTAAACGCTCTCTGGTGGGTTTGCAGCCTCCACAGAGCTGGAAACAAATATCCACTAAACTAAAGACAGACTGCCATCTCAGAGTTGATCCCGTTTTCTGTGTTGCTCCTTTTTCACAAAGCCAAAAACCACCTAAAGCGTAAAACTTTTTAGCGGATTGTTCCCTTTCCATCAAGCTTTCCTGATTCCGTACTTTAGAATCAGCTGATGATGAAGCAGCAGGTCAGGAGAATCCCTGGAGGGTTAGGGAGAAGGGCTAACCCACATTTCTCTGCTCTACCAGCACGAAAACACTGGAACGCAATGCGCTGTTCCAGTAATCCTGGGAAATCATGAGGACCTCATGGCGGCAGCATTAGTGATGTTCCTGTGAAGAGGAGGAGCCGAGGATCCAGGAAGTCTTTGCAGCTGCTCTTCTTCAACATTTAGCTCTGCTTCAGCCTTCTTCCAAATGTCTCCTTTAGATCTTCTACACAATCCACCAAAAAATCTATTGTTGTGAATGTTTAAAAAAAACAAAAAAATATCCAACCTAAAACAAATTTGCATTAATATTCACAGCCTTAAAAGAGGAAGATTGTGCTGATTGATTATCAGTTTGGTTTTTCCTTCGTCTGATTGGACAAACGAGCATCAGGTCAGAGGAACCGTCTGTAGACCTTTGAAGAGAAGGATGGGAGCCGTCCAACCCGAGCATGGAGGGAGAAGGACCTTAGGTTCCCAGCGCTGGCCTTAATGCTGCGTT